TATCAAACTGTCCCTTTAAAACCAGAGTATATTAGCTGCATAAAGTGTTCAGCACTCATAGCCAACATGTTTTTTAAGCATCATGAGTGACAAGCTATGCAAATCATGTCCTGAAGTAATTTGCATTATTGCAGTTAATTTGCACAGGGATATAAACTGCACTTCAGAGCAACCTGGTATCAATCCAAGTGGTGGCATGTGAAAGTCAGATGCACAGGTGGATGTGTGCTTTCCAGTGCTGGGATATTCAAGTGGAAAAATACTAGCAGGTGCTTATTTCTGGTTGGTCCTTATAACTTTGCTGGATAAGATGGCGGGGACAAATGGGAAAGGCTGGAGGAAACATGGGCTCCACGTCTCCTCCCACCTCTTCCATTTATCCCCACCAGCAATGCAGGGCTGATTTTAATTCTTCTGTTGGCACGAACTGCTACGACTACTGCTGCCTCTTCCTCTTACCATTAGTGTAATGCAACGGAAAAGGAAAAGAGAAGGGATGGACTGCACTACAGCCACTAAAATTCAGCCATATCTGGCTAATCCTGGACTACCATCTCAGGTCACCAAGGGAAAGGTGGATTTATCAGTGGTGAAAAGTTGCTAATGCATGAGTGTGAGCTGCGGGTGGATTTCTAAACTGTTTATTTCTTCCTTAAGGTCTTTTGCATCCGATGCTCTCCCATAGTCCTGGTTGGTTGCTGAGCCTGGCTGGAGGCAGGAGAAGGGACTAGCCATATCCTGAAGTCCCTTCTGGTCTTACTTTTCTATGAACTATGACTATGAGTATGAAAACACTTATCAGTGTACATTATTAATCACAGTCCACATTGGCAGTTGGGGAATCCCACTTACAAGATTTCTTACATTTGTCTTTATTACTCCACTTTCATGATGTGGAAATCAGCCAAACCTGCAGTTCAGGTACAGAGTGGGTAATACTTGAAGATAATAAAACAGAAGCAAAGTCTCTCCCTAGACCTTCATTTCTCCAGTAGTTCCTCTGCACTCCCAGAGCTCTATCTGTCCCCGGAGGTATTCCCCAGTAATGCCATTATATTGTTTTCCTCCTGCTCCCTGTCAGTTACAGGGGAGCCTTCACCAAGTTTTGGTTAACCTTCCTTATTCCTACTAGGTGAAGAGTTACACATTTTCAGCATTTTATTTGACTGCAAGGTCTATATGCAATGTTATCAGCATTTCCCTAAATACAATATCAAACAACTTAAATGTTGATATAAATTGAATTGTCTTTGAACTAAAGGATTCTAATTCTTTTTGCATGTTATTACTTCTTGCAGATAACACAGATAACCTTGATCTTTCCACATTTTACTTAAGCTGGTCTCCCTTGTCCAGTACCCCAAGTCCAGCCTCCACCTTGACTTCCAGTAACTGAAAGCAGCAGCATCTCTCCACTCCCACAGTTATGATGGGACCAGTGCAGCCTCAGCCATGCATTTCTGTGGCGAAAAAATGTCTACTAATTTTTAAAATAAAAATAGGAGTTTGATAGTTCTCATTTTGCTTCTGTTCTGACAATGGGATCCTTAGACATTATTAAGTGCCTTGATGCAAGAGTGCTGTTTCTTCATCACATGAGCATTTACAGCACTATTTCTACAGAGGGTCTTTATTCAGAGGTTGCACTGAATCCCGTAGAAGTAAATGGGAGTTTTGTCTAAAGAAGAAAGTAAAAAATGCTAAACAGACTGTTAACTTTTTGCTGGGTTTTGGAGGCTTTTTTTTTTTTTTTTGTTGCTGTTCCAAGATAGCTGAATCCAGTTCCTTGTGTCTTTTCTTCATATATTTAAACAAATCATTGAAATATTACATATTCTCAGAGATGCTATCTATCATGCTTTCCTTTTTGTTTCACTAGTGTACTTCAGATGTGCCTCATTCAAGAAAAGAGGTTATGCTTTTCGTATGCTACATTTGCTTAGCCACCGGCCAAATTAAATATTACCACTCCTGAAACCTTAAAGTTCTACTTTTACTGAGTATGGTACTCACCAGCAAGCAAAACAACACACAGGTTAATTAAATATTAATAAAGAGTAATACTGGAAAGTAAGTCTGAAAAGCGGGTTTTCTAGGCATTCATTCACAGATCCACATAAGAATTAAGGTTAAGAACAAGTGATTGCACTTCATCTTTGTTACAAACCTTTATTACAAAGCCATAAATATTCCAGTTGCCTGTGAAAGAGTTCCAGCAAAGACAACTGTGACTCAAGGATAGAAAATACTTAGTGTGATGCCATTTTCCAAAAGATATCTATATGCAATGGTGTATAATGCAAACATATTTGCATGGCTGTTCACTAATAATCCTTGAGCCCCCTCAGCCTCTTCAGAGATAATTACCTCATTGTTCTAAAAATTTCCAAGTCTTTGCAGGCCTATTTCAGTGTAATAAGGAGAAGCTGTAAAAATGTCATGACCTCTGCCGCCACAACTAAAATAAAAGGATGAAACTAGCAAGCTTTTTGTAATAAAGTATATTAGCAATTGAAATATGTCCTCTCCATTGTATCAGCAGGTGATGATGGAAAAATTGATGTACATACTCGTAGAATAAAAGCTGTTCTCAAAACATAAAAAAAATCCTTTATTTTATTTTATTTGGTAGAAAGCTATAAATTACACATATAAAAATAAACTATACCCAGCTGAACTATTATTAGACTGTAATTTTAACCTATCAATTCCTAAAGCCATGCTGTGCATGATCCTCTCTCATGGTTTACAGCCTCAGAGGCATCCCTCTGGTACTTACCTAAAGGTTACTTTTTATTATCTATTTAGAACCGATTCAGACCCAGAGCTTTTTTCAAGGTTCTATGTGCCATTCCAAACACACACACAAAAAAAAATACACAGAAGTACCATTACAGATTTGAAGTTGCAGTTATTCCCAGATTAAAATATAAATAATAAAGAAGATCCAGTGCAAGACGTATGAATACGACTGAGAGACATAAAACTTAAAATGATCCATTTTGTAAGATACCTACATCTGTAAAACAGTTGGAGCCTCTGAAGCATCTAGAACAGTAAGATAAGTTTTATCTATCCAAACAGCTGGGTATCTTTCCATTAGACGTATATTTCTGGGCCCTAGGTCTTGCAGATTTGGACAAGTGGGAAAGTTTTGATGAACCATGTGCAGTTGAAAGGGAGAGGAGAGTGATGTCCCTTGTGTGATTGAGAACTTGTGCAGATAATGACTCAATCTCTTCCTTTTCTCCCTCTCTTTACCAATGCTGTTGGTCTGAAAACCAGCTGAAGTAGAAGGAATATTCTCTACTGTGTATTTCAAGGCAGCTCATATCATTGGAACAGACACCTCTAAAGGCCAAATAAATATTTTAACTGCATTGATAAACAAGCCTGAACCATATGGTTGGTTGAGAAACACTCTATATGACATCGCCCTAAACTTCAGAAAAAAACAGTTCCAGGTTTAGAGACTGGTTTTGGTCCATCTTTATTTCAAGTAGCACTTCCTAGTGTTCTTAATCTAGTTTTATATCCATTAAAACACAGTTCTCAAACAGTTGCTTCTCCTTTCTCCCTTCCTTCCCACCCTTTTTCACTTCCCCAGACATTATAAACATCCCAACATTTACAAATTTAGCAATGTAGGTGGCTGGATTGCAGGTTGAGTAAAATTGTAGAAGGGGTGCTGGGTTTGTTATATACACTAGTTCACTTAGCAATACAGAAAGCATTTTGACCAAATAAACAATAATATATGGAAGTTCTTTATTTACTATGTTTTTCCCAAGCTTTCAATGAGATTGGGCCTGTCTGAAAGTATAAAACACAGAAAATGTTCCATTTTACCTGCAGAAAATTATTTTACACCCTCAAGAAATGAAATTCTGGTCCTTTTGATGTCTGCACCTTTTGAAGAAACAGAATACACGGGGATGAAACATCCCAGTCTCTAGTATTTGTTTGTTCTTTGGAGGTGATTTGAGAGAAAATACAGGGAAGGAAACATCTTTGCCTCATTTATTCTTCCTATAATTGTGTTTCACTTTCTGCATCGTAACATATCGAACTCACAAAGGATCAGAGAATTACATCTTCAATTTACAGCTGGGCTAAGCTCCCTTTAATCATGAACAGCAATTAAATATCCGAGTCAAGAAGAGAACGTGATCTCTTTCACATGTGGGATTCTCCTTGATGGTCAGTTCACACCACTGTGAGCATAACTCAGCACGGACAGCAAGTCTCAGTTGAAGCTTATTACTTTAACAAAATCTGTTCTAAATCTTTTCTCCCACAAATTACCAACCTTCTGGGAACACCGTAGAAAGCAAGAGTTTTGGTCTGAGATGTTGGTTTGAGCCCACTACCAACTGCCACTTTATGTGTTACCAATTACAGTGTCAATAAAACCTTATAAATATGTAATTCTTGGGAAAATATTTTTGCCTATGGATTTTGACTGCGTATAAGTGTGCAATCACATCATTCCTACCAGAAGCACAAAGTTAAAAAACACTGCTGTAGCCAAACATTAACCTTTACTGGCACCACAGTTTACGTTTTAATGAAAGACATCTTGTTTTACAGTTATTATGCTGTGCTATAAGATCCCAGAAAGGAATCCAGTTAAGTAACAGCAACTTAAATGGCATAGAAAATACTTGTTTGCCCTTGAGATAGTAATCTTTTCTACTAATGAAAGCACTGATTAATATCTCTCATAGAGGTGAAATTTGCATTGCAGAATTACTGAGGGAGCAAAAAAGAGGTAATTTTATTTTAAAACATATATACCATTATTGTTGTGGGCATCAGAAGGCACACACTTGCTACTGTCCAGATTAAAAGTTTCTAACATACTCAGAATACTCCAAATTTCCATCATACTACCCTCATTCTAATAACACTACAGAGGACGAGTACAACAGACCACAGCCTTTTTACAGGGGCATGTTAACACAGTGCTGATGGCACAAATGTAACCAATGGTAAATTACCTTTGAAAGGTCCCCAGCCTCCAAATAGAAGCAGATAACAAACACGTTCCATGTAACCCAAAGGACCAGCCAGACAGCGTACTGCAGGGAGGAAGAGAGAAACAGTACATTAATAATTACACTATCAGCTGAGTTAAACTTAGTTCATTAGACCATTAGTTCAATCCAAGACAAAACCAGACTATAAATGTGGTGCATATGAATAAAAATATTAGATATAAAAGAGAATCAAGAATAAATTCTTCCCTTTCACAGATACAATCTAGAGTGACCTACTGAGTACTCAGTCACACCAGAAAACCTGTATCTGAGAAAACATTTAATAGATCTGACACTTGGATTTGAGACTAATCTCTTATAATTGTTCAAATGGGGAATATTGCAATACCAATGATATATGAGAAGTGCAGAGCTGTTTATGTAAATGGTTATTCACATATAACTTACTAGGTAACATGATTGAAGTAGGCACTGGATTCTGCAACACTGGATTTAGTCTCAAGAAACTAAACCTATATATATAGCCTCAAGAAAATAAACCATATATGTAGGTTATTTTGCAGTATTCCCCAAAAATATGGAGGGATTTAGTCATGACAGCTGCCTCTATCAATAGATTTTGTGACATTCCAAAGCATGGTTTATAATTCAGCACCCACAGGGGTAGACCGTATTTTAAACTGACAATTTGTTTTTTTTTTGTTTTGTGTGAGTAATGGAGTACGTTTTCTTTCCTTCTGTCCACTACTTTGCCTTTTTTTTTTTTTTTTTTCATACTTGTAAGACATTACATGTTAGGTCTGTATAATAAGGTTTGACCCGTTGTTGCTACTCTTATCTAATGTTTGTGCTTGAGAACTTCCCTTGACAAATTATTCCATCATCTAATAAACATTAGGATCTACAACTGTTTTTCTAATGGCTGTTGTAGCTATTCTCTAGTTGTTCACAATCCAATTCTGCATGTTTGCTAATTTCATTCTACAGACCCATGGCACTGCATGTGCGTGAAAAACAACAGAGACACAATACTATTCTCTACCTGTTACAGCTGAGGGCTATTTCCTCCTTTTATATCACCAACCCATTTCTCTCAATTATTTACAGACTCACTCCTCTTGTTTTATGGTCTTTTTTTCCAAATTGTACTGATTACATTTTGTTAAACTACTTTTTCCAAATTAGGAAACACTGTTTTCTGCACACCTCTGTATTATATCACTTCTGAACAAGCAGAGAATATTTCAAACTGCATACTATCTATCCATTACAAAAAATATATGACAAACCATAGTCTATCATGAATGACAAACTCATTCTCTAAATTCAGTAACAACCTGTGTAGGATTCTTCTTGAATTTATCTGGGAAGTGCTGTTTTGTCTATCATTCAACAAGCAATGTCCTACTTAATCTTCTAGATAGTGTGAAAATAATACAATTCTGTTCTTTCTCAGGAGATCTAAAGACCACATCCAACATGAGAAAAATTTGGGCCTGTTCCGATTTCTTATTTTTATAGATAACCGAATATTTGCCAGCCAGCCTAGCTATTAGGTAGACCATGTATAGATTTTAAAGAATTAAGATAAATACTGATTGATGTCATGAAAGCTAACAAAGTTTTAAAGGTTCAAATTGCTTCACACAGAAGCAAATTTAGGTAATTTAAAGCATACAGATTACATATATTTTACAGGACAGCTCTGTCTGGTCCATAGATTTGGTCACAGACCATAGATTTATTTAGGTCAGGAGGGACCCTCTGGAGGTCATTTGGTCCAATCACTGCTCAAAGCATGACCAGCACAGATCAAGTTGTACACAGATTTGTCCAGTTGAGGTCTGAGTATCTTCAGCAATGGAGAGCTCATGGACTCTCTAAGAGACATCTACTCTTTGAGCATAGGCTGCTCATAAAACTTTGGAATGTAGGAACTTAATTCATATGCATGGTCTTAACACACTCTGGGCTTTTTTTTAAACCCAACTCTGAGACATTAAGTATATTGAGCATTTCATTTTCCTGTAGCTTGCTCATGGTACACCTGGCTTTGCATGTAACACAGAGTATTACAACTACCAGAACAAGCGAAGGAAACACTAATTTAGATTCAATAACCTTACATTAATTTAGATTCAATAACTTTAATTTGGCATTTTTTTTTCTAACTTTGTCGCATTTAACTTGCCAGTTTTTGCCAATTATTGTAATACTTCAATGCTATATACTAGTATACATGTACTCTGACAGAGTTAATGCAAGTATTCCTTCTGACACAAGAAGATAATTGGATTACTTATAACGAAAATTCTCGATACTGCATTTAGACTGGTTCTCCAAAGAAATGAGACTTAAGCAGTAACATCCATAGGAGAGTTTGTTCCCTTGAAATAACTTCTATGCTCCTGAACGATTTTAAGGAAACTGGACAAAAGACTAGAAGATTCAAAGATATTTTTTCACAAAACTTTCAGGAAAATAGGCCTACAAATGGGAAGAGACACTCTATTAAGTCTTCATACAGCAAAAGACTTACAAGATCATCTTTTATCAGTCAACACGAAGGGGTAAAAATGTGGGAAAGAGCCAGTGGAAACTAGGTTTCATTAGATTGGCTGTTCATGGCATAACTTGTCACATCGCATGTAAGCAACAGCTGATTAAAAGGTTCCCTGTGCACAGCACATCCAGCAAAACATACCAAGGCACTTTGGAGCTGCTTCTCCTGGCGGAGAGCCTTATGCTTACATGAAGAATTGAAACTTCTCTTTTCTGTTGTCTAGTCTATCACCAGAAACATGACAAATTTATCTGACCTTTAGATACACTCTTTTAACAAACATCTGCTGTTATTGGACTACAGATAAGGTTTAAAAATGTCTTTAAAAAGTATGTTTTAAACTGCTTCCTTTTGAAATGTTATATTAAGTGTTTGCTGCCTGAATTCTGTGGATAAACACTGAGTATAATTATCTTGAAATACAAGGATGCTTCTGCTTCCCACTGCTTCTTATTTCAGATGCTTCAGATCTAGCACATCTCTTATCTCTGGATCACATGGCGTCATAAATGCCTCTTGTTGTCTATGTGCTTCAGTAAATTGTTGCGGAAATTCAGCTCTGAAGGTCTGTGTCAATGAACAGATCTCTCTGGTACTCTCTATTATATGTATCTAATTAGAAACACATTTTATAAGAGTTCTTCAAAGGTTTATAGCTGTATTTTTCTCTCATATGTGGGAGTTCAATGACAGAAACCACCACAGTGCTACAGCAGTCACATATCAACAAGACAAGAACCTTGATGAACACACACTTGACCAAGCAGGAGATACTGACAGGAGGCATAGCAATGACAACACAGCTTATTATTTTTATGGAAATCCACACTGGAAAGAGGTATAACTGGAAAGCTAAGACTGAAGATTTAAATACTTACTATTTTGCGAAGTTGTAGCAAATCAGTAAAAGTTTCTTTTTTTTTTCGTAAGATACATTAGATAAATACAGCTCTTATGTGGTATAATAGGCTTAACATTCTTCAAGTAAACATAAATTTATAACCCTCTACAAAGAATTATGAGAAGAATTACCTACTTTCTGATTTATTAAATCTGTGTAGTTACAGGATTGAAAATTTGCTATGAATCATCACAAATTAATATAGGATGTCTTTTTTCTTGGGGAATGGGAGACTCAAATATTAAAATATATATAACAGTATTAAGAATCCATACATCCCTCTTCACACTTCTCTCAAAGTTGGCTAAGTCACATTATATCCATTTTACTGAAGGTCAAAGAAATTAAATGGCTAGACTTAATTCCACAGAGCACACGAACCAAAGGTGCAGGTAGTACACTACTGCCTTTGATATAAACCTGGTAACCAGAACTCACATCTAATGCTATTGTTACTTTGCCTGAAGGAGAAATACATCACATACCTTTTGAGTATAAATAGTGATCAACTCTGACAGCTATGAGCATTTTAAATTATTTTAAAGCACTTTTTCACAGAACATTACATGGTATTTCTCTTGCTCTCAAATTATTTTTGGATACGTGAGTCCATTGTAACCAAATTTGACTGAGGGATACAAGGGCTTCAGGCCTACAAGATATTATCTTGTGCAATTCAAAACAATTGAATTGTTGTCATTAGTGATTTGCTACTTATTTTCTTTTTAGAAGTGTACACAATTTTCATTTCAGATTCTTCCAAATCTGAAAATATTGTGCCCTGTCCATTTTTGTGAGTTTTTGTTTCTAAAGCGAATGTGAATTGATTTTTTACAATCTATTTTCGAGTTATTGGACTTTTCTGTCTCAAACTGCAATGACAGTCTAGTTTGTCTGCTTGTGTTTATCAGGGAATTTTTTAACCCTTTGGCACTGTGAGTCCTTGTCTCGTCAGCCTTTCATCACTCACAAATGTATATCTATTTTCTCCTTCCCATTCCTCCTTCAGGTAAATATTCTTTCTGAAATTTCACTTCCTTTATGTTACACTTTAATAATTAGTGTCGTCTGCCAAAACTGACTGAAAGCGGCTGAACTGTCAAGTGCATCAGAACTGGTCACTACCAAAGAGTAAATTACTGTTGGATTGGTTTTTCACTCCTGAGGAATCACTGCTTGCAGATATTGAGCAAGTGCTGCTTAAAATTTCTTCCCAGAGGCTTCTATGCACCCGGTGGCTATGTATCAACTTTCAAGCTCCTTGGGCTAAGTTATGAACCCTGATTTTATACAGGAGAATATTAACTCTATTTTCCCTTTGATTTGTGTGGGAAGGATTCATAAGCATAAAAGGCAAGAAGAAAGCTGGGGCACATTCTGGTCAGCTCACAAATGGATGAAGGGAAAGCCCAGAGCCCAGCACATCGCTATGACGTGTCGTCACCCCTCAATCTATTTATAGCCAGGGAGTTATAGCTCAAGTGGGACTCACTTGGCTCCTTTTTTCTTTTGGCTTCTTTGGTTTTGTTTCCATTTTCTTATGTGCCGGTATTACGTTGGACTCAGAATGCACAACAGAGATTTACTTTTTTTTCTGAATACATATCTTCCACTCCT